TATATATATATATATATATATATATATATATATATATATATATATATATATATATATATATATAAAAATAATCTGTCATACACTTCAAACATTAAAACAAAAACTGCAATGCATTCAAAGAAAAAATTAAAAGACGACGTTTCGAAAGCATTTGAATGATCTTTTATTGTCCTTCGTCCCTATGCATACATGAAAATACATTTACGTTGAATGTAATTATGGCAATATTGTACATACACACACGCACACACAAACATATGTGGTGCGTTTCAAAATGTTATACTAATAACAAATGTACATTAAGTACACAAATGTGCAAGTGTATCTAATGTACAAATATGATATATGAAATGTACCTCCATTTCATATAGAACTTTCATATAGAAAAATGCACACTTACACACTTCATAATAAGTGCGCGCACACACACACACACACACACGCACGCACGCGCATCCACATGCACACTACAGTTCACAAAGAAGGGAAAGCGATCGAGTTTGATTGGAAAATGAAAGAGAATTTGCATGTGGAGACCTTGGAGAAGACCTATACAGTCCACAATATGCAGTGTTCAGTGTACGACAGACAGTCTTTCTGAGGTAGACTGCTCCAGTTCAACAACAAGCCTGTATTTTTTTTTGTCCTTTTCATTTGTTTGTTTTTTTTACTATGTTTTTTTTTTCTCATTTTATACAAATGTGTGACATTCAAAAAAGACAGAACAGAGGTACTACATGTCAATATGTAGCAATGAGGTAGAAATGGTCATAAAGAATAATGGCAGAAAACAAACACTGGTGACAGTCACACAGAGATGATAGAACCATCTAGAAGCAAATGAACACGCAACCGAGGAAGATTTATATCTACACTGGAGATGTGCTTTTCTCTTTTTAGTTGTTGTTGCTGTACTTTTAGGACGTGCTCTCTGCTTTGCGATCAATTGAAGGAATGTTCCGGTTCAGTGCAAGTTAAGCTCTATCGACAGCGTTTGTGGCATAATATTGATTAGCGCTGAATATAATTTGGACTAATCCCGATCAAAAATCAAGAGGTACAGTAACACTTGCATTGGAGGTAAACAGGTCAAGAGTTCTGGAGGGTTTAATGCTTTTTTTTTTGTTGATGCACAAAGCTGCAAATGTGTTTAAATTGACCTTTCTAAGGTGATTTTCACAACTCCTTACATCCAGATTGAAACATTACTGTACATCAGGGGCAGGGCTTGACATTAACTTTTTTGATCACCAGCCACTGTGGCTAGTAGATTTCCAACATTACTGGCCACTCGCCATTTTCACTAGCCACAATTTTCTCGTTAGGAAGATATATTTTGCTTAAATTTGACTTTGACATGCTAGATGAGTTGATTTAGATGTTGTGTTATGTCCACATGCCTTCCCATTAATTTCACTTCTTGTGTGCATTGTGTATTGGCTTGCCCAGTGTGCATGAGCAAATGGACTGTCACAGTTCAATCAGTTTTTATTTCACGACTTTTCAGGGCTCAAAATTAAGGATTTACCAAATTTTTTTCTGACCACCCCAAATAAGTATTTCTTAGACACATTTTTTAATGTGTCAAAACAAGGAATATATCGTTATACGTGCACTTTTTAATTCAACAAAACTTTTCTTTAAAAAAAACATTACATTTAAAAAAAATAATTATTGTCATAAATCTAAAATATGCACAGTAATCTGTCCTCGCTAAAAGTCCCAGATCACCAGTTAACTTCACATAAAGGGGGAGTAATCCCCCATGTTATTGTAAAAATGAGAATTAAACCATATTAACAAAAATAACTGCAAACGAAAGAAAGCAGGTGAAAAATACCGTGCACACGGTTAATGTTAGGCCTGTTAATTATCTTTTCTAAGAATAATTAAAATGAAAGCAGTGAACTATATATGTATATATATATATATATATATATATATATATATATATATATATATATATATACATACATACATACATATATATACATATACATACATACATATATATACACATACATATATATATATATACATATGAGAGCTTATGCACACAACTACAACAGAGGCTTTATTTTTTTAAGAAGGCTGAGATTGTATGGGGTGGGTAGCCATATCTTGCTTTTTTTTTACCGAGCTATGTTTGAGAGTCTTATTTGCAATGGACTCACAGTCTGGTTTGGAAACCTGTCTGTTCAGTTGAAAAATAAATTGGTTCATATGCAAAAAACAGCCATTAAAATTATAGGAATAAAACAATACAAGCCCATACAGACTCTATATGAACAGGCGGCTATGAGAAGAGCGATCTGTATTAGCGCTGAATCTTAACCTCCCCTTTCTGAGAATGCCAATGTGTAAACTAATAGAATGAAGCTTTCGTTTGTTCCAACCTCGATAAAACTGTTGAAATCTACCAATAACACTGCTCCTGAAGTATGTTAGCACTTGACTGGGTTCTGTGTTTTATATATGTATATTTATGTAGGGTCTTATTCTGTAAACAATGCATGTTCTTAACTGTTTGTTCTTAATTGTTTTATTTATTTTTACTGTCTGTTTAGAGCAATGTTGTAGCATCTTTTTTGCCCAAGACAAATTTCCTCTCTGGGACAAATAAAGTTTATCCTATCCTATTTTTATTATTTTAATTATTAGCCACCCTCTGATTTTTTTTTCTTTTTTAAACATTTCCCAAATTATGTTTAACAGAGCAAGGACATGTTTACAGTATGTCTGATAATATTTTTTTCATCTGGAGAAAGTCTTATTTGTGAGTAGTGTCTTGAAAAATAATTAGTCAAATATTATTTACTGTTTTCATGGCAAAGATAAAATAAATCAGTTATTTAAAAAATGAGCTATTAAAACTAGTATGTTTAGAAATGTGTTGAAGAAAAGTTCTCTCCGGTAAACAGGAAGCAAGAAAAAAAAATTAACAGGGGAGTTAATAATTTGGACTTCAACTGTATATAAATACATGAATTACTCACAGTCAAAATAATTTGTCCTAGCTGACTCTATGCTAGAAACGCTGTCAAGAACATTCCTTTAACCAATTATAAGAGCTTTCAAAAATCAAAAACACCACCAATTTCTCTCGTCAGGATCAATGTGGGTTTCTTTATCAGTGCTTTTTGGCTTCGAAATCCAGAATATGATCATTCTCAAAATAAAACACCTCCGATTGAATCTACCAAAAAAATGTCCCTAAATAAGTAAATGTGTGGATGAGCTCAGATACTGTGAGTTATGGATCGGTTTTTGTTTAGTTTGCTTTGGTTTTGAGGGAGGACAATTAAGCGTGATAGGCTTTAAACATAAAAGTGCATTTGACAAATTGCACAATAGTAACTTTTCATCAAAACAACACAAAGAAGGCTGAATGAAAATACCACTTGAGAAGAAAGAAAAGTAGGTCTTTAGTTTAGACGACAAACAAAGGCTAGAAATCTTAGTCCTTTGGATGTACACATCACTTTACAAACATTGTGAAGTAAGTGGTGTCTCACAGCTACTGAAAAGACTATCTGGATGTCTGTCAAATAAAGCAAACAGATTTTTCTTTAAGGATATGTCATATATATATATACACACACACACGCACGCACGCGCACACAGATGTATTGGAGGTGTGGTGACTCCAAACGCAAATAAGCACCTCAAAAATAATGTCAAAGTACACTGCAGTGGACTAACAAAAAGGTGAAAACAGAGTGTGCATCTTCTCCAATATTTGGGACACAAGTCAGAATAATGACTGACAAAGGGAACAAATAGAAATTCTAGTGCTAGACATTAAAAAGCTGACTGAAATGAGCTGAGAAAGTAAACATATCAAGAAATGAACCAAAAGTACATTCAAACACAAGGTTTCCTCTTAGTTACCAACATCCTGTGCTACCTCGAGCCAGAAACATAACGTACGCAAGTATACTAATGCATAATAATAATAATCAAAACACTGTGTGTAGTGATGGTAGACTCCAATCCTCTAGGGGGTGATATAATATCCTTCAACTGTCTACAAATGAAAATGTAGACTTGCTAAATAAGACTATACATTTTATGTCATCATTATAGTAGTTTACAAACATGATGATGCTTATTTAAGTATCTCTGTATACTTTGCATCTTAGAACGGATTACTTAAAATCTTCAAACTTGCATTGTTAGGGGCACTTGTGTACTTTTGTAGGTTATGTTTCTGGCTTTAGGCAAAACGGCCCCAATAAGTGTCCCAAAGAGACCCCATCAATGATGCGTGCTTTTTACACAAAGGGGGTGTTTAGTCATCAGGGCTCTCTTAGCAGAAGAATTGCACAGGTAGCATGAGACAAACATTTGTTGTTTCAATCTTTTGGAGAAAACAAAAAAGGCAGCTTGTTCTTAACGGAGGCTTCATAGCGGAGCAAACCCAAAGAGGTTAAAAGACACAAAGCTCTCATCTTTCTGTTCTAGTTGCGGAGAAAATAGTGCTAAACTGAGGTAGAACAGAACGCAGGGTACACATGATCCTTCAGGTATCTTTACACCAACACGATACAGCAGCAGGACAGAGTCCAAAAAAAAAACAAAAAAACAGAATATATGTGAAAATGTTTCCACTTCAAGAATCTGGTAGCCTCTTTGTAACGTTTTGGTACAGCCCCAACTCTATTCGACCACACAAATACTGGCATCTACTGCATATTCTGATGTGGACATGGTTTCTGACCATCCCTAATATACACCTTAGTGCCTGTCTTAATAGAGCGTTCGCGAGTCTGAACTGTGCTATGCAGGGAGGAACACGTGCTGTAGTCAATACTGGCGCACAATTCTGCTTTCGAAACTTAAAGCAATATCTACATTGGAATTTAAATGTAATTTAGAAAGAGCAATAAGAATAAAAAAAAAAAAAACAGAAACTCTTCAAACTCTTCTCCCAAACTTCCCAGAAATGTTCTGGTTACATTCATAGTCATATCCTTTTCATTTTTTTTTAACTGGTCGAGGTAAACCTAGAGTTTTAGAAGAAGCAAATCAGAAGCCAAACTCAGTTTTGTCAGCAGTACGTAGTGCTATAACATAATCCTTTTTTTTTTTTTGAGGTACTGTACAAATCACAATCACTTTCCTGAGATTTTGAAGAAAATCAAACACAAATGAATTTTATAAATTAGGATCCAGATTCAAAGTACAACATGGACCTTCTCCTGCCCTTTCATAGGTCAGACTTGATTGAGGAATACTGTTGTTCTTTCGAAAGAAGTGTCGAAAACAAGGAGAAGAACGAAAAAGCAGAACATGTCTGTTTTAGTTTCATCATGTTAAAGCTCTCTATATTAGCACATGCCACCAATGTAGATGGTGAGGCAAACAAATCCAAATACAAATCAATAAAGCACCACTTCAGGCACTTCATAGCAACAGAATCTCAAAAACAGCAGAATGATATTTACACACAAAGAAGTTTGTCCTCACTTACAGAGTTCCTCGGTAAGGGGAGCTCTGCGTCTGCAGTACTGAGCCCAGAAAACAGTATTTCTCTGTCTGGATTATGTGCAAAGGGCCAGACCTTGACTTAAGTACAGCCATGCATCATTCAACTCTATCTGACCGTCCTTCAGGTTCTTCTTTTGGGGTCATCTACATTTGTAATAACCGCACTTTTTAACTGCATGTGTCACCCAAAGAATTCTGAATTGTATCCCCTCTTAGAGTAGGGGAGGTCACCCCACTGATTTAGTTACCCCCTTGCTCTTTACTGGCTACAGCCAAACATCTTATTCCATTCAGTGTATGTATCAAGTTCTTTCTGTGATATGCTGGGCTGGATTTTGCAAAACACATTCTCAAAGTCTTGATATGATACCGGTCTCATCTGACCTGGTATCATTCCGGAAAGGTCTGCGCCAGGCATGCCATGGAGAGGACCGACCAGGGCTTCCTGGCAAAGTCGGACCACATCCAGCCCGGAGAAGCCGTCTGTCCGCTGAACGAGCAGCGTAACCTCTTTGTCGCTGAGGCAGTAGTTGTGCTGTGAGAGCAGCTGGCTGATTATCTGGTGTCGCGCGGTGGCATCCGGTAAGGGGACGAGTAACCGCTTTACAAAGTATCTTCGTAGAGACTCATCGATCTCTTCAGGTTTGCTGGTGGAACATACCACTAGAACATGTTCCTCCGGTGAGCTCAGGACTCCATCAAGTTGCAGGAGGAGTTCACTCTTGATTCGGTTCACTGGGCTTTCTTCGCTCAACTGGGATGACAGCAGCAGATCTACGTCGCTGATGAAAACCACAGAAGGCTGCCGGCAACGAGCGATGAGAAATGAGGCCTGGACAATCTTCTCACCCTCTCCCAGCCATTTTGTGACCAGTGCAGAGCCACTAAGCAGGAGAAATGCAGCACCAAGCTGACTGGCCATACACCGGCCGAGCAGAGTTCGACCCGTGCCCTGAGGTCCAAAGAGTAGGATGCTGCGAGGTAATGTAGCCAAGCCACTAAACATATCTGGCCTCAGAATAGGCCACAGGACCTCATCTTTAATGGTGGCTTTCGCCATCTCCAGTCCAGCAATGTCACTCCAGTCCACAGGGGGTGTCTGCTGCAGAATCTCAGTGGTGACCATCTCGACCAAACTAGCATCGCTATTTTTTAACTGTTCCTCAGCAGGGTGGCTGGATGAAGTCGCTGTGCCGATGGAATGAGGGAGATGCTGTCTGCTGTCGTCACCATGGTCACTCATAACTGGAGAACCGAACTTCCCAAATGACTCTCCTGACCGCATGGACCCCAGGGAACCTTTGGAAGATCCATAAGAAGGAGGGGTTAGTGCCCTGCCAGCCTGGCTGCCGAACTTCCGCTGCTGATCTGTGGGCATTGACTGCTTTGTGGGCTTAAACGCCAAAGATGATGTGTCTGCGTTCCTGTCAAATCCATTCCCTCTGGTTGAGTCAACAAGACTGTTGTCTGGCATTCTGTACATGGGGCTTTGAGCAGAACGCTGCTGGCTGTAGTTGAAATTTCCATAACTGGAGTCCATATCTCCCTGGCCCGTCATGTAAAATGCTTTTCTTTTCAGTGTGTTGGCCGAGCTGCCATTCAAAGGTGTTGGTGCAATTGGTGCATGGTTGTGGGATTGGTAGGAGTAACCGGGAATTGTGGAAGGAGGTAGGGGAGTGGGGGCAGCAATGCCTGAGGGCAAGTAAGCTGAAGGAGGGGGTGCTCCTCCTGGGCTGTAGCCTGGAGCAACAGGGGTCTGTGGGGGATACCCTGCTGGAGGGTAATTGTAACTTGAGAGATTGGGGGAACTTGTGTTGTAGCTGGGCACCAGGGTTGGAGGTGGTGGGGGTGGAGGCTGAAGGAGGCCAGCGCTGTGCAATGGTGAGGGATGTGGGGACGGGAGAGCTGGTGTGCTTTGACCGCCGCTGTAAGTGGAATGCAAGTACGAGCCATTGTAACTGCTAGCAAATTCCTGAGAAGGGATCCCCGAGTGCAGCGCAGATGCATGATTCCCGCAGTTGCTGCTGGAGTAACTAGGCTCGCTCAAGCTACTTGCCACCCCAGTGGAGCTGCCAACGCTTGCTGTCACATCTGGAGGTGGCAGGGCGGGCGTCATGCCAGTCTTACTTGCAGAAATCACATCTGCAGCACAGCTCATTGGATAGATCCCCTCTTGCCATGCATCACTCTCTGACTTGCGTCCATTCAAGAGTCCTGGGGCACTTTCTGAGTATGAGCACAGGAGCGCCCGCTCACTGGGACCCTCCAAGATACCGGAATACTTCTCTGCGTACTTCTTCAGAAGGTTGGAGGCCGTCAGTGCCGATATGTCATCATTGGCCCAGGCGTACTGGTAGGTCCGCTGCAGGTGTCCACGGTACGCCTCCGCTTTATGTGCTGGGGAACGTGTGGTGGATGAGATGTCGAAATGTTGTTCAGCCCACTGCGCATGCTCTGGGGTCCACTGCATCTTTAAGCCTAGCAGGCAAAAGACAAACAAACAAGCGTCAGAAATTTGATAAGTAGGACTCATGAATACAAACTAATAGATCTGACATGTAAAATATATGCCAGGTTATGGAATTTTTAGATATTTTTGTGACATGGGAAAAGACTCATTAACTAAATCTAACCATTAAAAACACAAGTGGATTCATGAAATACATGGTTTACCTTTTACACATCAGAATCAATGACTGCTGTTGAAACGAAAGGATAAATACAGATGCAAATGGACATAACATCAGTAAAATATTATTTCCATTCCCCACACATTCATCTCTCCAAGAGTGCTGGCTTCATATCGCAGGCACTGCTGACAGTTGGTATCGCAGGAACAGTGCAGATTTGGGCCTCCAACACCTGGTTAGCACAGTATAATGCACCCTGCACACAGCCGAGTGACACAGACATCGCAGGTCACTCTATAATCCAACTCTCATCTAAAGCAGTCCCAGACAGTTTCAAATCTGCTTGGAGGAGTGCAGCAAAGCAATCTCCCAGGCAGCGCTCTACTGCTTTCATCACACAAACTCACAGCACGGCATGAATTACAACAGCTTTCTGTCTGCCGCCCGCCTCCCAGAGCACAGGGAACTGGAAAGGGGGAAAAAAAAACATGCCCGACTCCCTCTCGTTCACTCTAATGCTCCCTTTTCTCTCTCTTTCCTTTTACTCTGACGCTCTGGGTTCTGCCTCTCTCTTTCTCGCTGTCTTTTCTCTCCACAGCCTCTGTCTTTTATTGGCTCCAGGGCTCAAAAGCCACCATCAAGTTTAATCCCAAACTCCATCTGCAAACACAAGCAGTTACATACGCTGTCATCTTAGACACAGCATGGGATTATCAAAGAGACATTTACTCAAGAGCCGACGGGATGACGGGGCGGTCGCGCGCACACTCTTGCCGTCTGCAGATAGACTTCTGATGGCTGCAGTGTCCAGCAGGCGTGTTATTGTGCACACACACACACCTCCTGCTTATCTGAGCTTACTGGGCCTAAGCACTCACAAACACTATTCATGGCACAAAGGAAGAAGATGTAACAGAAAACGACACTGTTTAGGAGCTCTCAGCCCATGGACCTTGATCTCCTGAAGCCTGCCAAATTGGCACCATTTTGGCTGGATAAATTCTGACAATTAAATTACAAATAAGCAAGCAAAAAAAAATAAAAAATTTATTTCCTTTGGCTTACTCACTTATTGCCACAGCAGAGTGAACCACCTATTATTCCAGCTAGGGCTGGGCGA